CTTCACTGACCTCTGGCTGGCTGTAAGCTTCTGCTAGAGTGAGCTTCTCCATTTTGTACATCTTGCAATCTTGGCTGTGCCTTTCAATTCCCAGCAGAAAGCAGCTAGACAGTATTTAAAACTGCACTTCCAATCATCTGTTGGTTTTTTAAGGCTATTTTTTTTGTGTGAGTAACACCATGTTTATTTGGCTTAGGGCTCTAAGCATGCCATTGTGAAGGTTTTGGGTCTTTTGCTATTTATTATCCATTCCCATATAGGTCTGCCTTCAGATGAGAATTACATTGTAAAAAGCATCCATTTAATGTTAGTGGACTCACTACAGCTTGTGATCTTTTGTCAGTAATCTTATCCTTTCATTATTACCATGTAACACTAAGCATACTGGCCAGGAAGTCAGCTGTAATATCTTCGGGAGAAATCCTACTGACATATGGCTTAGACAGTTGGGCAGTACCACTATTTTGGGGCACTTCTGTTTGGTCTAGACTAGTGCTTTCGGCCATTCTCATAGCACACTCTGCCAGTTTTCCAAACATGTGCCTATGTTTGCCAGTCAGCTCTATTCAGTATCTTGAGTATTTCTGTTTTCTATTCAATATAGAGATAAGCATATTTGATACCACTATCAAAATTAGCAAAATTTGTGTCTTATAAAACATGCAGAGTCCAGTGTGCATATCCAGAGTAGACTCCCAATAAAAATTATCCCCTTCTGCTTTTTCTCTTGCTGGCTTAACAAAATCTTATTTTATTAAAAAATAAACTTCAAGAAAAATCTGCATCTTGTCATGTCCAAAGCAGTTGTTCTCATATTATAATCTCTAATTTATTATTTGAATTTAACATAGCTCTAATGAGAAAAATAATCAGGCGAATATTTGAAATAATTAGGTGAGTATCTGAATAGTTTATATGGTTTTCTTTGGAACCTGGTGATTTATCATAACATCATGAAAAAAGGTACAGTCACTACGTTGTATGGTAGATCAAGAAGTAATGAATACCAGCTAGAAAGTCTAACTATAATGAGAATATGAACTAGTAACACACAAGACCTAACCACTCACCTTTATTTTCATTATTTTTTATCACTTGAATGATCAATAACAATCAAGAAATTCATCTACCCATGCTAATCAAGTCATATGCACAACACTTCAAAACCCGTGTTTAAATTTCTGGAGATTTCTAAGTGTATAAAAATATCAGACCATTTTTTTGTTTTGTTTTGTTTTATTGAGACAGGGTCTTACAGGTTCGGGCTGATCCTCCTACCTCAGCCTCTGGTGTGCTGGGATTATAGGCAAGCACCATTATTCCCAGCTCTTCAGAATAAATTTTAAACATGTACCTTGTGTAACTGTCCATAACGGCTAACACCCATATATTAATTGAAAAGGCAGAACAATAGGTAAGAGCAAAATTTCACTCTAGTTCATCCCACACTCAAGTAAACATCTTCAGTCTGGTTCCTCTTCCAAGCTGTAATATACTGCAGTTACTTAAGGCCCAGTCCTCGGGCTCTTTTCCTTAGTTTGCTCCATATTACAGTCCTAGCTTAGTACTCGACTGCTCTGAAACTCCTTGAATTTGGTATTTGATGTATTTTGACATGAAAGTTTTGTCCCAGTGTGGTACCCATCGTTTGGTACTCCACAAGCAGGCTTGAACTTATGTCAATTCCCTCATGACTCAGTACCCTTCCCAGTGAAAATAACTGCTTGGTACTTGTACTTTCAGTACGTGCTTTGCTTCCCAGAACAAATTAACGAACACCACGGCACTGCTGTAATTTCCTGGCTGTGGTATCTACAGCTATGGCTTCAATTCCCATCACTTGAATGATCTCCAGATTTGGATTCCCCAGTCCCAGCTTCCATGGAGTCTCAGGCCCCAAACCCAGCCCCACTCCGCCTCTCTCTATCTTCCTCTGCCCAAGGCTCATCCTCCAGAGCTCCTTTTCTCTGTGATCTGTGCCACCTACAGCTAGTAGCTCTAGGTCAAACCCCAGGCCATCCTATCTGCCTCTCTCAGCTTTCTCCCATATCTAAATCAGTATCAAGGCTCATTAATAACTTTCAGATCCATCTCTTCAATTTATCCTTGTCTCTGCATCCAAAGGGTCAAACCACCAGCATCTCGCATCTTGGCTATTGCAGGAGTCCAGTGTCTGTCCATTCACACTCCTGGCCTCCAACCCTTTCTCCAAACCTCAGTCAGATCATCTTCTCAAAAGGGAAATGGGATCACACCAAATCCACTACTTAAAATCTTCTAATTGTTTCTCATTGGTCAAAGGATAAAGAAAATGAAACCATACAAAGTAATATACCTCTGGCAAGTTCTGCCTGTTGCCCAACTTTCCCCCTTCTCATTCCACTCTATGACTCAATCATTCTTGCCACTTCCTTCCTCTCTGGAACTTCTTCAGCCCCACTGTAGGCTTTCGTCCAGTTAATTTTCACACTCTATCAGATATTGAGATGCATCTGGTGTACAAGGTCATTGGCCACTTGATTTTCGTTTGCAGCACCTTGTTTTCTTATGTTATCTTAGTTGTGTGACATATTTGACTCATGGGTCACACATGTTAAACTGTGTGGAAACACTGTTTCAAAATTAAGCCTGAAACTGGAGTCAGTGGGACATGGTGTCCTCTCATCTGGTGATACAGGGAACTCTTACATCCTATCACATGTGGTTAATCTTGGTGGATCTGTCTGGATTTGGTTTTCTTTTCTATTTGTTCTCATAGTCTTAAAGCAATCTAAAATGAGGGCTTCATTTGAATGATTTGTTTTTTGAAAAGCCCACTATAATAAATCATCACATGTTTCTGATCGTCTCATTAAAAGATCATTTAATTATTTTATGAAATTCTAAATTCGAAGTTTTACAGGCCTACCTGACCACAAAGTATTTCTTCAAACTGAAATGGATTAACATGAGAAAAAGCAATGCTGATAGCATAGTTATGGTTTAGATCTGGGGGTTCAGTGTTACGGTCAGATCTTTCAGGAGTTTGGAAGGTGACTGGATCATGGGGTGCTATACTTACAATGGATCAGTCCACTGATAAGTTCAAAGCCGACTTTCTGTAAGGATGTGGGGCTTGATAAGGGGCAGGACATTGTACTCATGACCTGGAAGGGTGTGTCCCTCCCTGACCCCTCCCTTCTGTCTCTGCTTTCTGGCTGCCATGATGTAAGCAGCTTTCTTCTGTGGCAAGGCCTTCTACCATGCTGTTTCTGCTTTGGAGCCAGCTGACTAGGGACTGTAATTCTAAGAATAAACTCTTCCTTTAATTTGTGGGTGTTGGGTATTTTGTTCCAGCAACAAAAAAGTGACTAAGACAGATTTGAGTATCAGGAGTGGGGTTGCTGTCATGACTTTAACATGTGGTTTAGAAGCCTTTGGAACTGATCTGTGGGAGAAATTTGGAAAGGTTTGGAGATGTCAGCTAGTGAAATGCTAGAATGCTATAAGCTGAGCTTGATGGAGACTCTGGTTGGAACTTAGAAAATGAGAATATTGATAGAAATTCAGACAGTAAAGACTAGGCTCAGAAGAATTCAGTTGGAAACAAAACAAGAACTCCACTGGCAGTTGGATCAGAGGTCATGTGTGTTATGCTCTGGTAAAAATTTGTCTACATTTTACCTATGTTCCGAGACTTTGCAGGAGACTGAGATTAAGGGCAGTGGACTAATTAATCTGGGGGATGAAATTTAAAGGTAGTTCATTCAGGCAGTGGCATGGATATATCTGGCTGCTTTCAGCCATATTTATAGTGAGAATCAGGACCAAAAGCCCATTTAAAAAATCTTTCTGTTTTGCCAGGGGGGAAGCACCTACAGAGATAGGACAGAGGACAGTGTAGTTGCCAAAAAGGTTAGCATCAAAAAGAAGCCAAATTCTCTGCATCAGGACAAGAGTAAAGATTGCTTGAATGCTTCTCAAGAGTCTGCAAGACCTCACCCATTGCAGGCTTTAAAAGTATAAAAATAAAAGAGGTTTATTTGAGAAGAGTACCCCAGGGAGCCCAGTTGATTTCCTGGAATTCATTTCATAGTGCTGAGTCATCCAGGTACTCACAGGCTTCTGAGACCACGATGCAAATGGGCCCTGACTAATAAATTTCTTCTCCTGTAAGTTGTGGCTGTTGGGTATTTTGTCTCAGCAACAATAAAGTGACAGCATCAATACTACTGGGATGGGTAGTAGAGTGGAACCTGCATGGGCTCAGGAGGTGGGCAGAGAGAAGTAAAACCCTGCTCTGCTGGTATGTCACTGCATGACTTCAGGCTAAGATTTCCAGCCCGAGTCTTTAGTCACCTATAAAAACCCAGGAGCCTGTCCATCTTCCTACACCTACTGATTCATGATGGTTATTATTGCTTTAATTTTGTAATAACACTTTAGAGTTTATCAAGCATTTTCACAGATTTTAACTTTCTGAGTAGCTCAAAAATCTTATGACATTTTAGGTGGGGGTGTGGTTTTGTTTTTTAATTATTATAAGTGTTTTACAAATGAAACAATAGGCCAGAGAGATTAAGGGGCTGCCTGAGACTCAACAGCTAACCTAGAAATAGCACAACCCACTCTATCTTCTACTCTAAATCCTATACACTTCCTTCATCATACATTTGCATTAGCAAAAACAGAGTTGTATAAAGTGAAGTTCTTATCAATAAACCAGGAGGACACAGACAAGACAGCTGCCACAATCAGAGACTCCAATGCCACAGGGGCCTGGCAGGTAATGCAAATAGGGAAGCTGGCTAAATGGATAAGCATCATAGTCTCCCTTTCTCAAAGAAATACTATCTTTCCCATTTTTCTTGAAAGACATAATATACTCATTCCTTTTAAATATCTTTCTTTCTTCTTAATACTACCTTAAGAAAACCACAGTACAAAAGCAATGAAAAATGGCGACTGCAACACGGTGGTTGGGGAGTGATAGAGCAGGGTGGGGACTGAGGCAAACTTACTCTGCATCACCTCTGTTGGGTGCTGGTTGCTGCTCTTTTAAAAGTCATGACATCCTCTACAGAGACCAGGTTCTATAATTAAAAAAGTGGTAGAATGGAGGTCCATTACTCAGTGTCAACCTGTAAGAACTGTGTGAACACCATAGATGGAGGAGGCAGAACTAGCGCTTATGTTTTATTAATTGCCTAAAAACTGAAGAAGGCTTTCATCTCTATAGGGTTTCCAATATCTTTCAATATATGTACTTAATATAAGCTATTTAATTACATAAATTCCTTACACAGTATCAAATGAAAAACCTTAGACTCCTTAGGGATCTTTGAGATATAGTCCCAAATATTTGCATTTACTTTGTTGTTTATTAAAAAAATCACTGCAGTAATTTAAAATATTTGTAGGATTTGGAAGGGTAAGATCCACTTATCTTGGGCTCATGAATCTGTACATATCTTCTAATCTGGAAAACATGTCAAAAATATGGAATTCCCCTTAAAGATATATATAAATAGAGTCCTCAAGTTTAGACTGTGAAGCCCCAGATGGTCTATCAGTATCAACAGAAACTACTTTCCTTGCCAACATGAATTTCATAAACTAGAAATCATTCTCAGGCTTGCAAAGGCAGACGTATCCAGTGTACAATACTATTACTATCATGTTAGGTACTTCATTACATGGATCATAAAACATTGTTTTATTTTATTTTAATTCATTATGTTTCTTTTAGATACACAATATCATGACATTCAACACTGGGAATTTGTACCATTACATAATATAACTTGGTTCTTATTTTTTTCCCCATCACCCTGCCCTCCCTTCAACCCCTCCACCCCTCCCTATTTACAAAGACTTTGTTAAATATGAGAAAAGGATGCAGAAACAAAGTCTTTGTTTTATTTCTTTGAATCAGAGTCTCTATAAAACATTATTTTAAAACTAAAACTGAGTGTTTGAAGTAAACTATTGAACTGTTTATTATTATTATTTTTTTTTATGGCAAAAGCACTGAAGCCTTCCCAGAAAGACTCATCTGTACTCCCACATATTCAAGTGAGACAAAGCCGCGATTACAGATTCACCAGGTGGGCTTTGGAAACAGAAGCAACACTGACAGCAAACCTCTGTGCTGGGCTTGAACTTTTATATTCTTCTTTTTCTTTGTGATAATATAAATTTCTGGGATTCAATACTGGCATTGTTGCTAATAGCCTAATAACTATAAAAGCAGTGGAACAGCTATGTAAACATAAGGCCATTGTATTATGGGCAAAATAAGGAACTGTGGCTTCTAGCTTCAATAGTGTCTCTCTGTCACGCAGAGGAAGAAATAATGAGAGCCACAGCTCTTAATCGCTCTACCACAAAGACTTTCAAAAATCAGTACAATGGGAACAGTGTCTGAAAATGATGACAAGCAGGGGGACACATGCCCCTCTCAATGGCCTTGGGGCTTCTGTAGAGGGTGAGTTGGGTAGAGCAGGCTGGAATCAGGAAGCAGAGCTGAATGACCATTTGAGGTCCCTTTGGGAAGCTTGACAGTTCCATCACTGTAAACAGCAGACCCCATTCTCTAAGAACACTCGTCATAATTCTACTTTATATGATCTTAATAACTTTTGATGTTCTATTTATTTCGAAAAAGATAGGTAACTTTTGGCCTAGTCCACATCACTGATAGCCCAGCTGCCAGATAAATAAATCTCCCTCAAATGCAAGTTATGGGATTCAAGAGAAAATTACTGATCAATCTTGAACTATTACGGGGCTTAGCTGGCTTTGTGCAAATACTTTTAAAAGTGAAAGAATTCAGTAAAGATTAATTAAGGTTTCATTCTTTGCATGGGTTTTGAAATGGGTTCTTACCCATTATAAAAGGCCTTCTGGAGTTAAAATAGGTACTTTACTGTCTCTGGTTCTTTTCCCCTGTTGTCTCTTTACAGCAAGTAAGCCTGTCTCACACCCAGCTGCTACCAGGCTCTGTCAGCCTCATTAGGTGACAGCACCTATATTCTGTACATGATACACACAGCAAGCTTTTCTCTATTTCTATTATAGTTCTGCAACAGGGAAAGAATGTACAGCATTAAACTTTATGAATAGCATTGAAGGTTCATCTGATACCCTTGAAAATTAAGAAATAAGTCAGGGGTGTAATCCTACACTTTGGGAGGCTGAGGCAGGAGGATCACATGTTTTAGCCCAGCCTGGGCAACCTAATGACTCAGTGAAATTCTGTCTCAAAAAAAAAAATTAATAAATAAAAATAAAAGGGCCTAGGAACAGCTCAGTGCAAAGATCTTGGATTCATTCCCCATACAAAGCAAGTAAAAAATTTTGGCTGAAAATCTGATTTTTATATCTAAGAAAAAGTTAATAGCTTCCCTGTGTTGAATATCTACTATTTGTCAGATACTTGTGAACACTGAACCTCAGCTAGAAAAATCGAGCTGCATTTAATTTGTTTTTTTAAAGGGTTGTTGTGAGATATAGGTAGGTGGAGAAGACCGCACAAATGTCGCAAATCTTCCTCTCCTATAACCTCTTTCAGTGTGACTCTGGAGGTCCTTTCAGCAATAAATCTTGCCTATCTCTCTACTATTAATTCTGGGTTTGCTTTGTAACTGACTTTTTTTTTTTTTTTTTAACACAGGGCAGTAGAAGCAATAGCGTGTCAATTCTGAACCCAGCTCACAAGCTTTGCATACTTCTCCCCTCACTCTTGGAATCCTGAGGACCCTCTGAGGGATCCTCTATATGAATAATTCCAGATGTGACTGCTGGATGAGGAGAGAATGCTCCCAGTTTTCCTTACAGTCCCTCAGTGGCCAGCCAGTCCTCAAAGTAGAGATACACAGCTGACTGCAAGTGGACCGTAGACTCATGTAGCTGCAACAGAGTAAAGAGAGGCCTTGTAACTTGTCCAAGCTCAATGAGCTGGCAAATGGTAAAGCGATCATGTTATCATGTCTGCTGTAAGGCCCGTGCTTTTATGTCACCCCTCTGTCCTGGTTCAACTTCTTGGTTTTTGTTTTATCTAAATGAGAATGTTTACGTGAGTGCTTTCTACATGCTTGGTGTTGGGTTAGATATATTTCCTACATTTAGGGAGCACGTAATCTCAATTTTATTTTCAGCTAATAAAATTGTAAGCTGATTCTTTTGAACATGGCTCTACCTGAAATGCACTTTCTACCTTTGAAATCTGCTCAAAAGTAACCACATCCCAGGAATTCCCCCTTAATTTCCTAAGACAATTACATTTTTCTACCGTGACTGACTACAAAAATAACCACAACTGCTCACTCCTTTCTTGATCCTTGCCCTTTGGAAAGTGAGTATTCAGTTCTTTACACCAAGACATGGTGTCTCCTTTGCCAGCCCCTGCATCTAGCATGGCTTCATGACTTGCTTTGGGGAAGAACTGTGGCACCAGTGCAAATGTGCCAGTTCTGAGAGGAGGCCTGAGGCACCTTGCACACTTCCATCCTTTCTCCAGGGAACCCCAGCTCCATTTCTCCAACAAGCCTGGGCCGGCCCTGATGAGGGACAAGAGAACACAAGGACCAGAGCTCAGTCAGTCAGGCTGCCTCAGCTGGAGCCCCCAGATATGTGAGAGCAGCCCAGCCAAGATGAGCAAAGCCAAGCAACAGCGGATCATTGTCGCTCACAGAGTATAGCTGAGGCTGGCCTGAATTACTCTTCAGAGTAAATGGTCACTGAATGCCACTGAGCTTGTGTTGAAGGCACAGGCAAGGGATATCTATTGTACTTTTTGGATAAGGGATCCTTTGTATTCTTACAGTATTTTAAAACTTATTTTTGGAATAGCCCACATATTCAATAAGTGTCATTGAATGAATGACTGAATGGCTAAATATTCAATTACACAAAGATAAGATTTTTCTAACAAAAGAGAACTTTGACTTTTTATTTTGAGATGAATAACTTCTGGCTTTCCTGGCTGTGAGTTAGAGCAATGCTCTGCACAGGGCCTGAGACTTTGCAAGTGTGTTACCATAAATGTTACCTGTCATTAATCTTGGTGTGTGAAATAAGATGCCAAACAACAAAAGCCAAAGCAAATGCCATAAACTGAGATGTGCAGGGTGTTCTTCCTAAATGCTTTCAAAATCAGGACAAACTCTCCTGATATTTGTAGGATGGAGATTTAGTGCAGGGGACATGCAGTTTTGTATCTTCGGATACTGGTGAGCTGCTTTTATTGGGCTGTTGTTGTTTTGCTCTGAAAATATACTCCTTTAAAAGGCTTCCCAGTTCTTCAAGCTATCCCACTACAGAGAGCAGGAGGGTTCTGTTACCGGAAGATCATGCTGAGCCGCTCACCTGCTTTCTCAAGGCTGGGAATTCTCAGCTTGAGCAGCAGATCAGAAGCACCTAGGGAGCTTTAAAAATGCTCCCAGGGATGCATTTAATGAGTTTGGGGTGCAGCCTGCACATGAGGACTTTACAAAAACCTTTTGGGTGATTTTCTTGAGTAGTCAAAGTGTTATTGTTAGATTTAACTTTAGAGGAAGTCCTGTATAAACCACCTTCTAAATATGCCTTAAGTCAAAACCCAGACTGAATTAGTATAGCTAGGGACCAATTTCTTTTAACAGAAAATGACTGGCTCAAAAAAAATTAAGAAATCATGATCAAATGAGTAAATTATGATGATTAATTTAATAAGCAAATTATGAACCAGTTGGCAGGGTCCTAAATGTCTTAAAAGCCTTAACCATAATTAGGTATTCAAAATTCTTAGACTAAAATAACATATAGCACTTCAGCCTGTATTAAATAATACATCAAAGCTAAAATTCATTTGTGTATACAATCTAAAAGTACATTAGTCTAAAATATCTCTAAAATGCACACTGTCACATGCACAAAAATTCTACCATAGGGAGTACAATTGGGTATTCTAAGATGATTTTTGGGTTCAGATTCAACACAAATCTTTCAAAAACCAGTTGCATCTTTCTAGGACATAAATGATTCTTACATGGCAACTCTTATATGGCAATTGTTATTTTCAACAATTATTTAATTACTTTTTGGTAGCATT